GCAGTGTATGCTTCATGTGATAAGGGCTGTGAAGCATTTTGTGTTGCATTATGTAGGAAAAGCGCTCCACAAATAAAGGCAGATTGATTGAACTTTGTGGTCAGAAAGCAGATACAGTTTTGCAGTTTTTAATCATAAAGACTTTTTCCAAGCTACTTTAGATTAAGAATTGTGGCTTACCTTCCAAAAAAAGAGGGCACAGCATCCTCTTTCAGACTTGCGCCGTGTGTTTCCACAGCCGTGAGCCTGCTGACCCAAGAATGCGGCCAGCTCTCCAGCACATTGTTTAACAAGGCCCAGCGGTGGAGTGGTCAAGTCAAATGTTTGCTTTGCAGGGGGTGAGCTCAGTGTGTTTTGGAATTATAATGTGCTGTTGCATTGTTGCCATTTATTGATTTTCCAGAAAATCCAAAGCGTCTCAAAATATGTTCCTAATAGATCACAACAAGGAAAGAGATACAATAACAGAGCCGCAGGAATGGTAACAAGGTTTAGTTTTGCTTTTCCACTGAATTATAGGAAGATCAAAACCAACTGTCTTAAATGTACGATGAATTCAAGTGAGCAGGTTTCTGTGAATGTCCGTTACTTTCCAAAAATGAGAAGAGAGAAACCTTTTGAAGACAAGCCCAGTCAGTGTCCGTATTCACTCCCGCAGCCTCCTGATTGAATAAAATGTATTTAAATCCATTATCCTTGATGCCCTGTAGTCATTGGTTCAACAAATGTATTCTCCTCCAGCAAATCTCACTTATGCTAGAACTGCTCATGGGAGGGGCACTGTTTGAAATATATTGGTGTTGTTGTTGTTGGCTTAAATACATGTGTCATGTGTCATAAATACACTTTGAAAGAGTTATTGTCATGAGGTGAAGTGATGGAGGACTCAAAATGTAGGAATGAGAGCTGGCACCCAAGTCTCAAAGCACCAGTCCTTCGCTGATCCTTCTGCAGGGTTTAGGTTTCTCCGTAATCTTTCAGTGGGGGCTCCAGGCAAAGCGGGGTTAAGGCACAGAACGACACCAGACATCAGTGGGAGCAGATGACATGGGTCGTAAGGGGATCGAACCCACAACCCATCCATCCATCCATCCATTTTCTACCCCTTAATCCATTTCTGGGTCGGGGGGGTGGTGGCCAGAGATGCCACCCAGTACACATAGTACCAAACCATTAGGTTAAAAGATCAACGCTCTACCAACTGAGATTAAACAATGTGTCTTTCCAAAAACGGAAAAAGTTGAGAGTTGACCAACTTCACAGGCAAATAAATGACATACAAAACATAGATACATTGGTTTATTCCGATTAGTCAAACTGATACTATTCTTCCTGGGGTCCAATAAAAACGTGACAGAAAAAGTAAAATTACCAAACAATAAGCGGCTTCTTTTTCAAGTTATTTAATCGTCCAAGTTCTGTATCTTTCTTGGACACAATCGCACAAAACAGTCGTAATGTTTCATTCTAAAATCATGAAAACTATTAAAAATACATTCATTATCAATTGCAACCATAACACATTGAAACGTTACACATTCTAAAATTATGCTATTTTTGTCATTCTAACTCAAGAATAGACCACTTTCATAAATGTTTGCCTAAAAGGAAATTCTTCAGCAATCTTTTCAATCTTTTCACATTTCTCCGACTGTTATTATCTTGGTGATCATATACTGTACATCACATGCATTGTATCAAAGCCCTTTTCTGCCTCAGGCTCAGTCAGATGTTTGACAAGTCTCTAACAAATGGCCCTTTTCTCCCAAAGACCATTGTGTATTCACGAGTAAACATTTAAGAAGCGGAGGACAAGAAATTCTCCCTCACACTCCAAACACAAAGCCGCACTGTCTGTCTTCAATTACCGATTGTCTCATCAAGTGGCACTCATTCTCTCACTTCTTGTTTTGCCACAAGATGTTGATTTTGTTTATCACATGGTACAAGTGACAGTGCCTGCTCCGACTGATCCATGACCCGCCCCCTTCCCCGAAACACGCTCCCATTGCATCCACCCCTTGTTCTGTCTGTCAACTCTTATCACCATGGCAATTAGGGAGAAACTGGGGGCAATTATGTGCTTCTCTGGAACACACGCCGAACAAACGACTGAAGGACTAACACGGCAGCCCTCTCCACAGCACTTTGAATAGGCCAGGAAGATTTGTGTGATGGTTTAACGGCAACGTAATAAAAGTTTGGCATCGCAGACTTCATGTTGTTTATAGTGCACCAAGACCCTATTGAACTTTTTTATAGTTGCGGGTGTCTATTTGCATATTGGACTCAATGGGACAGGGCCCATTCAAAGTGAACTAGGCGTCTCGGGCTGTCAAAGAATGTTAGGGACTCCCGCAGAACTGGGAAAGCGGCCAGTAAATGGATCCTTTGTTAACATGTAAAGTAAAGTAAAAAACGAGGTTATGTTATGGTATACTTTTTGTTCCTATAGAGAAATATGTCCTCTCCATTTGACCCATTCTCCAATGCTAATAGGGCAACCTGTCAGTAGCCGTGGTCACCGCCTGAGGACCCATCTCCAGGTGCTCAGGATTATCGGCTTGGTCAGGATCAGAGCTGGAGGATTTTCCCGATGGTGCACAATTTGGGTGGTGAAACCAAAGAGTACAGAGGAATCCTCCCAGACTTGGAAAGAAACATCCAAACTCCACACAGCAAGACCCAAGGTGACCTGGGATAAAACCCACAACCTTCTTTCTGTGAACGAGGACTTTGGTTGATTAGTTTGCTGATTATTCTTTGGTTAGTTGTTTGGATTCCATAAGGTCAATGAATGTGCATAGGATTTTTAATTGAGGACATTCATAGAGATTACTTGTTACACATTGGATTGTTTGACTAATAATCAACTAATTCAATCATCAATTAACTTGTTTCACCCCGACTGTGAACTATGAGTGCTACCCATTAGCCAACGTGCCGCCTCAGCATCGCCCAATGTCTTTCTCTGTCCATTTAAAACTACATGATGGATAAGATTTATATTAATCACTGATATTAAAATGAACAATTAAGTCAACATTAATCAACATTTTCAAAATTAGTATTGTTCCCAACATTGAACCCTGTGGGACTCCTTTCCGAATACAGAGAATACAGAGTTGACCATATTTCCATGGCTTTCTAGCAAAGGAAATAACACAAGGCCATGATGCACTACATGTGAACATTCCAGACAATGCATTGGAGTTTCTTGCAGCGTTTCTACTATGTGAGAAGGTGACGCGTCCACAAAAGAATGTGCTTCTCTTCCTTTCTGCATACGCTTTAATTTCCCCTCGGGTTGCTTACTTCACTCATGCAGGAGAGGAGCTGTCACTGGAGGAATCTGGACCAGCAGGGAATGAGAGGAATTTGTGCTTCTTTCTCTAAAATGCCCTCTCCTTCCTTACCTCTCACTCTTTTCTTTGGATGCTTCAGCACAAGAGCGGCTTTTGAGTTTTCTCTTGTTTCTGCTTTCAATCCAACAAAAACAAGCACTCGTAAAAAATGGGGATTGTTGATCATAGGGATTTAGAGAGAAAGTGGACATCGCCGGCCTGTGTGGAGTCAGGTTTGCTGGCAGGAATCCTTGCAAGTGCTCCTAAAAGTGCAAAAGTACAGACTGCATTGAGATTTAAGATGAGAGATTTAAGGGCACCGTTCATACGCTCCATCTCTGCAGTACCATAAACACATGCTTTACTTCTTCCTTAATCTATCCTTCATTCAACGGGACTTTGATGGAGCGGGCTTGGAGAGGGGAAGCTGGGGAATATCTGTAAACCACCAAAGTACAGGGAAAAGAGTAGTTTTGGAAGAGACTGCACTTTCAGCACCCACATACTCATATAAGCCTGGATCATGTTTACAAAAAGAGTCAAAGCCATCGCTCTCACTGCAGTAAACAAATGAGGTTGGTTTAAATGAAAGGACATAAGCAGGATACAGGTTAAGTATTTTGTTTTTTTTGTTTTGTTTTTTTACTTCTACTTAATAAGGTTTTACTGAATGAAGGTGCGACTTTCATGATGACAATACAAATCTACTAAAAATTCGGTTCTGAGCCATGCTTCGATTGAAGAATGCTAGTTAAATGTGCGAAACCTTTACAAATTGATCAAATTGTGATGGATCTATTAACTTTGTCTCCATAGATACAGCATTGTCTGAAGTATGGCATTAAAAACATAACATTATCTCCATATAGTGATAAAATAGCCACAATGTAAAGTGTTACCACAAAAGATACATCTATATCAATTGTTTCCGGTGTTTTGTTAAGCATTTGAATTCCCAGAAGAATAACAGTATTTGTAAGTTAAACAGTTTGGCAGCCGGTCATTGGGAAGCATAGATGAATATATGCTCAACACTTTGACTATCGATGAATGAAAACTATCATTACATTCTTTGGGGAACTTCTTATTTGATAAAGAATCCTCACTGAAAATAACAGAACATGAAACTTCCCCTCTGCTGATGAGTGGTGTTCAAACCAAATAGAATTTATATTGACTCGATAAAGCGGCTTGTCCTCACATAACTCTGTGCCTATACTGTTTCCACTTGGGAAGATGACCTTCTCACTGGACATTGTCCCTGTTCTTCTGAAGCCATTTTACGACTCACGTTAACCAAATCAAAATAAACCGTCAGAGGATGTCAATGTGATGAATAAAACCAACTGTGCGTCTTTACATAATTTCCAACAGACTGCATTCCAGGGAAAGATCTTTGGAAGCTCAAATCCCTTTTTCCAAAATATTTGATATGCATTGTCAAAACACTGAGCAGGCTGAAGGAAAGGATCAACAAAGACTGTGAGCGCCATCTGCTGCTCACAACTGGTAATTTAACAAACAACAATTCAAGTTCATTTCATTATAAAAGTCCTTTATTTGTATTTACACACAGAAGTCAGACACTCTGATAACACAAGGCATGTTGAATAAGACAACTCTCCACACATAGTTAGGCCTCTGGGAAAGGGAAAGTCATTTGTCTGAAGGTTTGAACGGGTCAGACCAGACCTTCATCCCTAAAAAAATAAAAGAAGCAATTTTTATATTTTACAAAAGGTATATATGGAAAAAGGACAAACGGACAAAACCCCACTCAACCCACCCCTAAAGGGAAAAAGAATAGAATATCTGCCGTCTATAATATGTTTTAATTTTGGAAAAAGAGTGATGTTTTGAAGTCATGTGAAATCAACATAATCTTGTCAATAATCAGGATGAGATTCACTTCTGTTGTTTAGGGTTCTTTCCACAACAATAATAAACACGTTATTATTATAGATCCATGTAATAAACTCAATTATATACAGAATCTGCGATGGTCATACCACTGTTATTGGACGTTTTTACATAATCGACCACACAATCAACCAGTACTAGTTGTTGAGGGCATTTCTAACGTTGGGATTTTTGACCAACGTCCAGAATGCATATTCATATTTATAAACACAGCCGGATAATACAGACGTGCATTTTTATTATAGGCTGGCTCTGAAAAACTGTGCTGCCCTCTACTGTTCAGGGAGAAGTTACAATTCAGCCTCATGATTTTATAGATTATAGGTACTCTTTTTTTTTTTATGCATTGAGGCTATTTATTTTTTAATCCTGTGTGTGTTTTTTAATGTTAAGGTTTTTAATTACTTGCGATTTTATTCTGTTTTTAATGTATATATTTTTTGTATGTTTTTAATGTATGTTTTTAATGTATATATTTTTTGTATATGTATATGTAGATTTTAATGTTTCTGATTTGTTTGATATGATGTGGGTTGTGAGGCGCTTTGAGTTGCCTTGAGTTGGAAAGGCGCCATACAAATAAAAGTTGATCAGAATGGAATATGAAATAAGATGAATGTTACCTGTATATGTCCCCAGATAACAAGTAAATATTTTTCAATTATGGTAACTATAACCTTTAGTAAGGACTATTAGTATCAGTATATCCACATTGTGTATATTCCATTCAGTCTTTTACTTTTCCAGCTTCAAGCTCGAACGTATAGGGAGCACTACAACCATCTCATATCAAAAAATGTAGAATTGGAGAAATGTGCTTATGTGAATTATTATTCTTATCTAATGAGGTAGTAGCTCATGGCACTGTTGGAGCCTGTTGTGTTCTGGTCTGACTGTCGGCAGGTTGTGGTCTGGTACTGGCCTGAGCTGTGGTTTCATCTTTCACAGTTGGTTAAGTCTGGTGACGAAAATATTGTTTTTGTCATACTAGTATTTTTATTTGAATAATATTATGATGTTTTTAAATTGGATTAAACTTAAAACGCTTCTCTGGTAACAGACTGTTCTTTCCCCTTGGAACGGTGGAAAGTTTTTGGAGCAATCAGTTTTTAGAAGCATAACAAGTTTGATATTTTGATATTTGTTGTGTATGTGTGGTACTCTTCAACATGTTTCCCCTCATGGTGCACAGTATTGTATGACCAACTCCTTTCTTTAGTGGAAGTATAATAAGTGACAGTCTTACCCGCTGGCTGGACATCTGCCTGATTGATTCCCGCTCTATTCACTTTTTGCACTGCCCCTGGAAAAGCAAGAACAATGGCACATAATATTCAGCCATGACTCTGTGCTCAAAAAGTACATTATAAACAAGATTTATGACACAAAGGCTTATTCCAAAGTTAGTAACGGAAAAATGAGCAATTAATTGGACACTATGCAGCCACACAAGTTTAATTGCATTTTCCTGGCAGGAGTTCATCATTGACCCAGTGAGTCTGTGGCTGGGCAGATGGTTTTGTTTTAGCTGTACTTATTTAAACTGCACAAAAACTCCCAAGACACCTTATATTAGAATAAAACATAATCAGGAAGTTAGATAATGCCTTGTTTTTGTCACATGCTGCAGTCATCTCACGTAGAGCCACAAATTCTGAACAATTATGGACATTCTGTTGCTGAAACAATAAGACATCTTGATAATGTATCTTTTCAAAGCATAAGGATTAGACTAAACTATATATATGCATTATAAACCATGGCTCCCTCGTACAAGTCCTTTCTAGAAGACTTTGTCCATATGTTGGTGATAGAAAGATGCAGCAAAACTTTTCACAGTCCAAAAGTCACATCACAGTTTCACCTATGATTCACACACATAAAGTACAACTGTAACCACAGCTGCCCTGGGACTAGCTGGTCAAAGTGAGACTGTCAATCCATCAGTCGTTCCAACCACTACTGTATTCAGTCACATACCACGCTCACTCATTTTAACAAAGCAAGCTGGGCTAAGATCAGTGTGTGAATCAGAATGTAAAAGAGTGAATGCATATAAGGATCATGTCAAAAGTCTATACATGTGTAAAGTATGGCGATCTGAGCAGAAGCAGAATCTTCCATCCATCCATTCTCTTCTGCTTTATCCATTGCCGGGTCGGGGGGCAGCAGTCTAAGCATAGACAGCTACTGTAGACTTCCCTATCCGCACACACTTCTTTCAGCTAAACTAGGGAAATCCTGAGGCGTTCCCAGGCCAGCTGAATGACAAAGTCCCTCCAGCATGACCAGGGTCTTCCCCAGAGTCTCTTTCCGGTGGAACATGCCCATAACAAACGTCAGAAAGCAGGAAGAATCCGAAACAGATGCCTGAGCCACCACATTGTGAAAGGCAAATGAATTGTGAGTAACAATTTCTGTCCCTAGAACAGTTCTTTCTCTTTCTCAGTTTAACTCATCTTCAATTCCATAATTGTTGTCAAACTTGAATTTATTTATTCTTATTTATAACTGTATGACTTGAAGCACAAGGCAACCCTTTGACATGTTTAAAGGGTGTTTTAATTTTAGTCCAGTGTTCAGGTCCCTGCACTGGCTTCCTGTGGCTCAGAGAATAGACTTTAAAACAGCTCTGCTTGTTACAAGTCTCTCCATGGCCTCGCACCAAAATATATTAGTGACATGTTAGTCCCATATGAACCAGCCCGGACTCTGAGGAGCACAGGGACTGGACTCCTGTTAGTGCCCAGAGTCAGAACTAAACATGGGGAGGCTGCTTTTCAGCTTTTTCATACTGCTAAAATCTGGAACAATCTTCCTGAAGATGTGAGACAGGCCTCCTCTCTGACAATGTTTAAAACCAGGTTAAAAACAGTTCTGTTTAGCTGTGCATACAACTGAGGGATTTTATATGTTTTATCTTTCTTTTTAATGTACTGTGATCATTTATGATTTTAATGCTTTCTTCTTTTGTTCAGCACTTTGAGTTGCCTTGTGTATGAATTGTGCTATACAAATAAACTTGCCTTGCCTAAAGTAAATTAATACTACCATATACAAAAGTAAGTGAATCCTTATCTAATTTTGTAACTTTTGATGAATCATGATTTATATTCAACATGAGAATGGGACAACTTCCCCATGACATGGGATATTCTCGAGGTCGGCGTTACGTCACGAATCATGTGACCTGCGTAGCAACCAACCGCCGCCATGTTTGAAGGGTAAAACAAACCGAAGGCGAATCCAAAAGGTATCTATTTACATATGTTTTGCCGTGGATTATGTCAGTTATGGATACTAACGGACAACTTTGAATTATTGATGAATGATATCTGTGTATGCGAATGTATGTTGGTGGTGTAAACATTCAGGGCTTGCTTAGCTGGAGGCAGGAATCTAAATTCCTATCTATTTCCATTGTAGCTGTTGTCATAAAGAAATGTCTAACTGTTGTTGGAAATATCAGATAAACCTTATTTTATTAACGCAAATGTAATTCCTCTTGTTCTTGCACCTTAAGCCACAACAGGACCACCTTTTTCAGTTGTAGTTTTACACTTATAATCGCCAGTTTTAGTTTAATCTTATTTCTCTTGCCTGCAGCTGATGTCACTGATGATGTATATACCACATGTATGGAGTGAATGTAAACACTCATGTAAAGCGCTTTGTGACTAGCTACATGTCTGTGAAAGGCACTATATGAATACAGATCTTCTTCTATTGCAGCATGTCATATCAGTATATTGACAGTCTCCTAGCGCCTGCATTGACCAGGTACCACAGAAAGCTGTCGCTTGTAGGTTTACAATCTTGTCCCTATCGGCATCCAGCAGAGTCCTGGGGAAAACAACCCAAAGGCATGGCCCAGGCTCGAGTATCCAGACATATACAATTACCTCATCAAGTCCCCTGGTATGAACACCATGTGTACATACCATGTGTCCTACACTTGTAGTAATATTTAAATACCCATCAAGCATCGATAACATTAACTATGTTATGACATTCAAAAGCATTCTGTTACAATGTGGCTGTAATGAGCTCAGTCTGTCAGTGGCACAGCTTGTACAGCGTAAGTGAGGGACACAGTTTTTTTCAAAAGCCAAAAAAGGCTAACTGCAGAAATTCCACTTATTCCCCACACAACTAGTGCATTTCATTGTTGCTTATCGGTGTAGAGCTGCCGACCATTATGCATAGCGATGTCATAACATAGCAACAGAAAACAGTGGCATGGCATTGGTATTATTTTGTTATTCTTTGATTTGCCCCTCAATGTGTCCATTCATTTGAGATTACATTTCTATTTAAATTTTAAAGTAAAATGGCATACCCTCTTCACACTTTTTATGACTGGTTATTTTTTGCAATAACCAGTCATCAGATTACATTTTATTGAATGTAGTGTCTAACGACAACAGCAAGACTTTAACATTTCTAATGAGAAATAGTTTATTAGACATTGTATAAGTAGAAATGAAAGATATGGAATCTTTTAGTTCTCCTCCAAGGTTTCTCACTTTTTCCCACTGGGTTTTTTAAGAGTTTTTCCTTGTCGATGCAGGAGGGTCTTGTTGGACAGTTAGTGTCCAACAGAAAGGATTGGTGATGATCAGGACACTTTAGCGTTCTACAACATGTATGGACATTTTCTTCTGTGTTTGCTTTATATTCTTCATGTGTTTTAACTGTTGATCCTCTGACCTGTGTTGGTGATTTCAATGGTTTTGTTAAGTCCTCTGAGATGACTTCTGTTGTGACCTAGGGCTATACAAGAATAAATTGTATTGTATTGTATTGTGTATTGTATTGTGTAAATACTAAAAGACGTGAAGATTGACATGAAAACATTTGTATCATTTACTTGCAATTTGTCAGTGTTTTTGCTCTGGTCAATTGTCACTCTCCTAGATGTGATATGTTAATGTATAAAAATAAAATTATTTCCCTTTCTTCATTTTCTTTTGTTTCAGGTGTATTTAGTATTATGATGGTGGAGACCGAATCATCGCTGATTTTGTCAATGCCTAATTCCGTCTGCTGCAGGTCTTGCATTTCCATGCAGGGTGTTGACACTTCTTGTTGCAACTCTTCTGGGACACTTGTCTCCTCAAATTCCAGTTGCTTCTTCACCTTCCTTTCCTTTCGTGATACTAGAGTAGTGGATGGTGCTGAAAAAAATAGATAAAAGGTATATATTTTGCAAATGATCACAGAAATTTTAAGTCATGGCCTCATATTTATAATAATAATAATAATGCATCAGTTTTATGTAGTGCTTTTCTGGACACTCAAAGACGCTTAACATTGCACTATTCATTCACTCCATACTTGGTGGTGGTAAGCAACTATTATAGCCACAGCTGCCCTGGGGTAGACTGACTGAAGCGAGGCGACCAGTCTGCGCCATCGGCCCCTCCGACCACCACCAACCACTCACTCACTCGGCTTCCTGGTGTTACTAAACGGCAGTATATTTAGTATTGAGTTGGATTGGGACGACAAGTCATAATAGTCGACTATGACTAGAAAGCAGCGACCAGTAGACTAGTTTTGTACTATAAATACCATCTTACCAAGAATTTCCAGGCTAGGCATTATGTACAAAAATCTGCATGACTAGTTACTTTGTAGATGCAATGACTTTTTCATACAGGAGGTAATTTTGTTTTCAAGGAAAATACATTTGTTAGCAAAATCTGTATTTTTACACAGATTACCATTTTTGTAGCAGTTAACCTCCCAAGTACTACTTTTTCAAATTTGTCATTAGAAATCAACATGTATTTTTTATTTATGTATTTCATATGGGGGACAACATTCTATTTCACAAGGTGCTTGTATCAATTGTTGTACACAACCTCATTGCAATATGGAATCTTTTAATTCTTAACTGTGCATTGGAAATGCAGCTCATTATCTGCAGGTACGGTTTTACTGCAGTGTAAAATAAGAGCAATAAACACAATTTGCTACTATATATATGTCTGCATAAACAAAATCGACTGCAATTTTTTAGTTTTAAATTTCAAGTGTTGTTGTGTCAACAAATTCAGATAATTTTTGGTCATTGATCTAGGAGCAAACTAGATGCATGTTGATCACACTACAGTTTGATGGTTTTTTTTCTGTTAATGATAGGGTACTGTGGGTAGCAAACTTACCTTTTCTTTTCTGTGCTCTCTTGAAGCGATCAAGTGTGGTACTCTTAGTCAATTCCTTCAGCACTGCTTGCGGGAAAATGGACGGAGTGTAATCTGGGTGTGCGGGGTTGTTGTTCTTCTTTCCTGTTCAAGGAGCAAAGTGACAAAATCTAAAGATTCCCACTGAGTAGCTCCAAGCCAGCTGGAGCCATTTCTCTCTCCTTTCTGGCTCAGTTGCCTCGCTAGGGATCATGTAAAAGGATAGGTCACTCCTTTTTACGCTGTTGTTGGTACAACAAACAATACAACAGTTTTTCGGCATGTTTTGTAACGCTCGTTTGTCTTTCGCTTCGTGTTGCTTAATGGCGGGCGCTGGTTTGTTTTACCCTTCGCCGCGTTGCTATGCGCGCGCAGTGCATTATGGGAGTCCAAGTTCCCGGATGTCCGACCTCGAGAATTGTTTGTGACATCAATCTAGCTCAGCAAAAGGCAGCACGGTGACTCTTGCATAATGATTCTTCAAACTCTGATCCCATACATTCAGTATCCCAGCTGAATGTATGGGATACTAAACTAGTTTTGATGTCATTCGGCTCGTTTATTTTTGTTAAAATCGGCAACATAGTGAGGCATAAGCATGGATCTATAAGGGCATAAGCCAAACATATCATTCATTGTCATTCTCGTACTTACTGTAGTCGTCTTTGTGTGTCAGCGGGTAGACAAATATTGGATAAAACGCAGCCGCCACCGCCGTGACAAACCCTCCAAATATCAGCGCTATTCGTGTGTTTTTAGACATTACGGCTCAGAGATTACAACACTGTCAATGTGCTGTGTTTACATATGTTTACACCGCAGACTGTATCCGGTGTGGAGGTCAAGAGCAGAGCGCGCGCACTGTTTGGACTATCTGGGCATCCGTAGCTGTGACGTCAGTATCACGCGCTGAGGTAAAATAAAAACACGGAAGTAGACGGTTTGGGGAATATTGTTAACAGAAAACAGCCGTAAAAATGCTTGAAATTAAATATTTACGTGTTTTAGTGTATTTTGTAAGTTTTTGCAGTATGTACGGAGCAAGAACAGAAGAAATGCCCATTCAGACTTTTGTTATTCCTCACAGTCACATGGATGTTGGATGGGTTTACACTGTGCAAGTAAGAGTTTTGGACTTTGTTTGAGTTGTTAACTTAAAACTGCAATCAGCGCCAAGTACAATATGAAACTATTATCACGTCTTGTTTGCGGTTTTCTTTAGGAGAGTATGCACGCCTATGCTGCCAATGTGTACAGCAGTGTGACTGAGGAACTGTCCAAGGCAAACAATCGCAGGTTTATTGCGGTGGAGCAGGAGTTTTTTCGACTTTGGTGGGACACTGTCGCCACAAACTCTCAAAAGAAACAGGTAGGGTTGATAGACTTGCTTTGACAATATTAATAAGTGACTGATGTCACATACAGTATATACAGTCATGTGACTGATAAATGATCTCTCAATCTATCTATAAGATATAACCTAGGGCTGCAGACATGCTTGGTCGACTAAAGATGTTGATGGATTGGTTAACTATAAGGGGGCGTAACAAAAGTCTTTATACAGTTTGCACAAGCTCATACAGTTATGTGTCTTTCCCTTTAACTTTATGGAAAACAACAATTTGAAGACCATGTTTCTGTTATTACAAAAGTCCATTGTTGTTAAAAGTTGTTCACTCTTTTCATAGATTTCCAGGCTCCATTCCCTCACATTTTACAATTCACTAATACATTTCTCTGTAACTGTAGGTACGACAGCTTGTGAAAACGGGACAACTGGAGTTCATTATCGGAGGCCAAGTGATGCACGATGAGGCAGTGACAGATTTGAACGATCAGATACTACAACTCACAGGTGAATGGTCAAAGAAGATGAGTTATTATTTTGTTGATGTGTGGTTTCTTCTTTGTCAAAACTATTCCCCCCATATTCAAACTGCTCCTCCTTTGTTGTGTTTTAAGTTTTTATGCTCTGGCTTTTAACACTGCGTGAGTTATATGGTCCTTTTCTTTGTTTTATTTAGTTTCATTGTTATGTTTATATATGTGTTTTTTATCCTATTTGATTTGAAGGACTTTACGGTTTTACAATGGATTTGTTTTAATTAGTCATTTATTGCGCAGCACTTTGGCAACTGTGTTTATTAAATGTGCGATAAAAAAAAAGTGGATTGGATTGATGTTCTACAGAGGGACACGGTTTCCTGTACGAGACGTTCGGAGTGCGTCCACAGTTTTCGTGGCACGTGGATCCCTTCGGAGCCTCAGCCACCACTCCCGTCCTGTTCGCGTTGACCGGGTTCAATGCTCATCTCATCTCTCGCATCGACTACGATCTCAAAGACGCCATGCAGACGGACAAAGTAAGTGAAAACATGTGATAAATTCTCAGAGTGTCTTTACCCTTTTTCTTATTTATACAGAAATTACAGTTTGTTTGGCGAGGTTCTCGTTCACTAAAGAAACAGGAGATCTTCACTCACACCATGGACCAGTTTAGTTACTGCACTCCGTCCTCCATTCCTTTCTCCAATAGGTCATTTACATTTTCATATCTATGTCTGTTGCTTTATTACAACCCTAATCCATACAATAATATCAAGATCGAGTTGCTGCTGTAGCAATAAATGTTATGTATTGGTTTTCCTAGTTCTGGATTTTATTGGAATGGTGTTGCATTATTCCCTGACCCCCCTAAAGATGGCGTTTACCCCAATATGAGTCTTCCGGTAACCAAGGAAACCATCCACGCCTATGCCCAGACCATGGTAGATAACATTAAGCAGAGAGCAGCTTGGTTTCGGACCAAACATGTCTTGTGGCCTTGGGTAAGATCCAGAGTGTGTGTGTTTGTGTACAGCATTGGATACATTCTACAAAGTCATATTCATGTTGTGTGTTTAGGGCTGTGATAAGCAGTTTTATAACTCATCCATGCAATTCAAGAACATGGATCCTCTTATGAACTACATCAATCAGAACAGCAAAGACTTTGGAGTAACAGTCCAGTATGCAACACTCAGTGAATATTTTAAAGCTCTTCATGACTCCAATTTGGAGTGGGAAACCCGTGGAAGTGAAGATTTCTTACCTTATTCTACAGGTAGGCCAAGAAATATCCTGAAACTAAAGTTGTAGCTGTTTGTTGATGTGTTATGTTAATTCTCCAGAGTCACACCAAGCCTGGACTGGATTTTATGCATCTAGAAATATTTTGAAAGGAGTGGCAAGACAGGCCAGTTCTAAGTTGCATGCAGCAGAGACTATCTTTACCCAGTACAGAATAAGCTTCCCTGATGGTCCCGTGGCTAAAGACTGGGCCCTCGACAAACTCAAAGCACTGCGCTGGGCTGTATCTGAGGTCAGTGGACATCCAACACCTCGACTGAATACTTTCTAGATAATAACATAATGATAATAATGATTAAGTGAATGTGTAGGTCCAGCATCATGATGGCATCACTGGCACAGAGTCGCCCAAAGTGGCAAACATGTACATGCAGCATTTGAGCCAGGCCATGATGGCAGTGGATGAACTCCTGGCTGCACTCTTCCTTCTTCCACACAGACTCAGTCCACACGACATATTCAGCACAAACTACCAAACAAAAGGTCTTAACGCATATTGAGACCTGTTTATGTATTTGTGATTTTAAATATGATTATTCTCTCTGCCAAACATTCTAACACATTTTAGATATATATATTTTTTTTCACAAACAGGAAGAGTCCAAGAAGCACGAGAGCAACATATAATCGTCTACAACCCTTTAGCCTGGAATGTCACGACAATCGTCAACTTCACGGTTAACTTTTCCACGGCTGCGGTGTTCGATGACAATGGGAAGTCCGTCCCAGCGCAGGTACGTGAGAAATTCCCGGTCATCCCCAACATCACCTTTTGTTATCAAGATATGCTCTTCTTTAACAGATGCAACACTAAATACGACTTGGTTAAGCTGTTAATCATTCTGGGCAAATTCCATACAAAAAAATAATCACATTTTTAAAATAGAAAACCCCTTAACATATTTCAAAACGAAATTAATCTGTATAAGCAACATACTCATCTCTGAAATCACCCAAAAGCAATGTAAAAAATCACACTTTTTGAAACATTTTCCATTTAAATCCGTTTTTTGGTGTTTGTTTTTTGGTTTTTTGTACTGTGTTTTTGCTTGAATAACCCTCTCTCCCTCATCCTTCTGTGGTCCATTATTGCATATTTAACTTTGTTTGTACACTGAAAGTTCTGTACAATATTATTATGCTTTGAATTAAAAAAAACAAAACAGTGGCTCAGTTCGTAGAGCGTCGGCCTTTGTATCTGAAGGTCGTAGGTTCGAATCCACCACGAGACCTACTTCACCACTCCCAGTGATGACTGCTGTTGTTGTGTCCTTGGGCAAGACACTTAACCCCACTTTGCCCATAGCCCCCGCTGAAATGATCAAGGCTCCTATGGACTGGGTACGGCTCTGACTGCCACCCCCCCCCCCACCCAGAAATGGGGAAAGGGGGAAAGAAAATAGATGGATGGATGAAAAAAATAAAATAAAAAAACCCAAGCGATTCCCTGACCTAATTATGAATAGCATGGCAGTATCCCGTACAATATAATTGTGTTTTTTTTTCTTATTTAGATTCAGCCGGCTGCTTATTCCAACACCACCTTCGACCTCTTCATCCTGGTGGAGCTCGGGGGTCTTCAACATCGGAAATACACAATCCAGTTTTCAGAGAAGGGTGGCTCTGTAGCAGGAGATCGCGGTGGGACGTACAAGGCTCGGAAAGTTTCGTTTGACAGGAAGTCGGTTCAAGACTGGACAAAAACTGGAAGGAGACTCCTGCCAGTCATCAATGAATGTTATAAACTCATGTTCGATCAGGATACTAACTTACTGCACAGCGTTACCTACACGTAAGAATATCACGTTTGTTACTGTCATTCTCAACCTCAGCTGTTACGACTGTTGCGCGACTGTTTTCTAGTGAGGATAAAAGAAGAGTCAGGATAAAGCAAGATTTCTGGGAGTACCGTGCGAATGGAGAGATAAAATCAGGGCCCATCTCTGATAACTACATCTTCACGGCTAGCAGTACAGCGGCGCGGGCTTACGGCGCTGTGGGGATGGAGATCATACCCGGGACCATAGTGACGGAAGTTAGACAGTTTTTCTACAAGTGAGTATGAGTGTCATTTAAAGCAGAGATGAGTGGAAGAATCTGTATTGTAACTCACAAAAAGGAGGTTAAATGGGTATTCAATTGCCAAAATATACAAGATTCCGACATTGGCTTAACTGTTGAAATATTTGAATACCTTTGGGGAAATAACAGATAACATTAAGATGCAGATTCATTTTACCACATTGGAATACATTTTCAAAAGTCCATCAATAAAACTAGCTAAAAGTAAAGAAATTAAAAAAAAAAGTGCAGGGAACAATTGAGACTGGGAAATCAATCAGCAAAAACAGTTTCTCCACACAATGATTACGTAAAGTTTAAACTATGAACAGATAAGTGTCAAAAAATGTCTACGGCTTACAATTTTCCTTTAACCAAGTTGTTTTTTTTAAAAGCAAGATCTATTTCAGTCGCATTCAAAAAGGTTTCACTTATTCTTGAGCAAATTATTTCAAATTGACTGCAAATAGCAAAACATGTTGAAGATTGTAGCTATAGGAAAACAACTTCAAAATGGAGATATCTGTTTTTTGCCAATAAACTCTTCATTTGTAACCAGAATCGTGAGTCTGGTTTGTGGTATGACGACATAACATCAACATGTATTCATACTTCTGTTAGGAATAAGAGCGATAAGGACCATGCCTTCTCCATAACCACTCGTGTCCCTGAGTGCTACCAGAGCAAAGTGCGTTGCCATCGGCTGCAGCAGTCTTACTCGGTGGGCCCGCTGCAGCTGAACACTGAGACCGTTCTCAGGACCACCACCTCATTGAGAAACAACAAGACCCTGTACACGGACGACAACGGATACCAAATGATGAAGAGGACCTACAAGGAGTTTGATAACAACACTTTAGCCAGAGTAAGTCAGCCGCCACATCTCTTATTGTGTTGTATTATGAGCTACTGACTGGTCTATTCCACACCGTTGCAGAACTATTTCCCAATGGTTCGTGCTGCGTTCATTGAGGACGACCAAAGCAGACTCGTGCTGGTCAGTGATCGAGCACATGGGGTTTCGAGTCAGGGAGATGGACAAATTGAGGTACAAAAAGCACAGTTTGTAGTAAAAGCACTTTTGAGTTATTTTAAATAGACAAACAATGTAAAGAAGCTAGCACTGATTAATTACCTGACCTGATGTTTCGGCGGTAGACTTCCGCCTTCGTCAGAGGTGATGGTGTGACGTGTCTCTTACAGTATCAGCTGTTACGGCTCATACAAATGGAGCAGAGCAGTGATGGTTCATGTCTGTGTGTCCAAGACAAAATTCTTACAGGACATAATAAATTGATCTTGAATCTTGAAATAAACTTTCCTTGCCTTGATTGATTGATTGATTGAATAATTCCCATAGGTGATGTTGCATCGTCGTTTGTGGAACAACTCGCCCTTTAACTTGGGTTACAACCTGACCCTCAACGACAGCTCAGTGGTGTGTCCAACATTGTGGATGATCATGGGCTCGCTAAATGCAACCACAAAGGTTTACCACAGGGAGGCGATAGAGATGCAGCACAGGCCTGTGGTGATGGCCATAGATCAACCCAGTAAGTGAACGAACGATCTAATTCCACTGTCTTCTCATTGCATGACTGTCAACACAGTTTTGCTACATACATACACATACATATAAATACATACACACATACACACACACATACATACATATATACACACATAGAAAGAGTAGTAATGTGACACTGAGTTGTATTGTTTTCTTTTTGCTTTTCCAGAGAAGCCTTTACAAACTCAGGCCAGACACAGGCTTCCTGTTCCTACTGTGGTCCTCCCTCCCAACCTCCATCTGCTCAGCTTCAGTATCCCGGGCTGGAACTACAGCTCCAACCACACGGCTCATATTAAACAGATAGAGAAAGGTTTGTTGTTGATTGCTGTGAGACTGAGCACAGTTTTAAAGCTTGGGTACGTAAGTTACCCTTCGTAGATACATGTTGTTAGTCCCAACAGAAAAGTTGTCTTGTAAAAGTAATACGTTTTGAACAAATCAGACCACAACTTGCTGCTTCGATCTTTTTAAGTAAACGTTATATTTCGCATAATCCTAAGAAAGTAAGTAATCTATATTTCCGTACGTAATCTTTATGTAGCGCATTTTTACAGAACAATGTCACCCAACGCGCTTTTCAAGAGCCCTGTGAGTCACTATTTGACTCAGTTGGGCTGAGAGATTATTGTATTTAAAGTTTTTCGACAAAGGCCAAAAAATACCTGCATTATCTGAAAACTACACCAGACTTTTCTATTTTTACTTCTTTTGAAAACTCCTGAGAGAGAGGAACAAATTACCGAGAGTTAAAGGTGTGTGTGTGTGTGGTTTGAAAGTTACATACCCCCGCTTTAATTACAATATTCCAATCAACCTGGGTGTGCTCTGTATTAGACTGTCTCTGTTTGTATCTGATCTGATAAAACCAAATGTTTTCTCAAAGATCAAAAACACGCAGAGGTGAACTACGACCGGGTCCTGTTGCGGATCATGCATCTATTTGAGGAAGGAGAAGATCCGGAGCTTTCAAAGGCAGTTACCGTAAACATGAAGGTAACAACAACACAGGGCAGGGCGTTGTAAAATATGGTGTTATATTTTGTATCAATGAATAATGTGGTTGTGTCGCTCTAAAAGGAACTACTGAAGGGTTTAGGGGAAGTGAGAGCCCTGGAGGAGCGCTCTCTCACTGCGACATGGGACAGCGACACTTTACAGAGGTGGAAGTGGAAAACAGCAGAGCCTTCGCAAACCCGTGAGTCTCTTCTATAAACCATTCAGGATTGTATTTTTGAGTGCTTTTTTTGTTTTGTTTAGTTCAATGTGAATCAAACATGAATTATCAAATGTCACTACAAAGAATTTTTCCAGAAAATCATTCATTCACAATTACTTAATACTTAAATTGTACATTATTCAAATTCGAAAAGCCCATACATTTACACCTGTGTGTTTGGAGCCAGTAGCAAAGAAATGTGCAACAACATGGCAACGAGCATTCATTGTTTTCATTGTTTTAATCTTGCATCATCTCCCTTTTTCAGAAAACAAAACAACCGAGCCAAAGGATAAGTTCACGGTCACAATCTCCCCCAAAGAGATCCGCACTTTCTTTGTCTACTTTTAGCTCTTCAAAAAACACAGCCTCTCGTCCATCAATGCACTTTATGATTTATGAGATTGAACAAAGGATTCTACTGATTATTTTTGATGAATAAAATCGTTTTTACGTACATACTGTGTTATTTTTGTGTCCAATTTGTGTCCTATTATTGGTATCATTAAAATATGATAAAATGATATGAATATTGAGCTTTAAAAGAACAAAGAGCATGGATTTTCATTTCAAGATTCAAGATTTATTTGCCATTTGCAGTAAAAACATATTAGAAAAACAGTGCCATGAGATTTGACTCTCTCCATCACTGGCTTTCACAATCACGAATTGCATCTGTCACATCTTTGGGTCAGCTTTTTCAGACAGAAAAGTTAAATAGGGACTCACAGGGCTCTTATAAGAATGCAAAAAAATACCATGTTTAGTTCAGTCTAATAAGATCCCCATTTGTGACTGAGGTGCAGTGACTAACCCTTCTTCCTGGGATCACATCGAAAACATTACATACATACATTTTTACATACAATTGAATATGAAACACACATACAACCTCTCACACGTACACATAACGACATGGAATCTCAATGGAAAAACAAAAGTTTGAGCTTTTTATTTTGTTCCCTATTTGTCCTTTTGTAAAGCATTTACAAAACACAAGCATAATGTAGTATTATTATTATTTTTTTTAAAGTTTGTTATGTGAAACGAAGACAGCATGTCGTGGTCTGCTTTGTTCACAACATTTTACTTAATCTTCTGCCTTGTTTGAAACTAGAATTACAACAGTTGCCACTAGGGGCGCTGTTTTCCATCTGAGGACGACACCCACAGACAATAGTTTACTGCCCAGATGCCCGTGACGCTAAGCTCTTCTAGCTATTAATATGTTTAGATCCCCAATGGCATAAATGCAGATGTAGGGCGCCGTAGTGAATCAATAGGAACCATGAAGCGGACATAAGAAGAAACCAGCACAACAGCTTGATCTCTGGACGATGAACAACGCCAGCGTAAGTACTCAGTTATAATAATACGCCTTTATTTGTGACACTGTGACGTGCTAGTGTGTTTTTACTGTCTGTAGGTTTACGTTATGAAGCTAGAGGCAGGATGTTTTTGCAGAGTAGTATTAATATTGCATGAGATTCGTCCTTGGATGCTGAGGAGGCGTTGCTATGGAAACAAGATGTTACTCAGGCTGATATAATTGTTGTGTGTGTGTTTTTTCTGTGTTTGTGTGACCAGAAAAGAGAGGTGGACCAGAGGAGGAGACTGCAGCACTTTCTGGCTGATTTGGCTCTGCTCGGATCATTGCAGGTTGGACACAGTTCTAAAAACACTGAAAACGACAAATATACATAAGTAGTTTATTGATTATTATGGGTATTCGAGGTAGCTTACAGTTCTTTGTAATTGTGGCATGAAAAACTTGAGTGAAACTATGAAAGCAAAGAGAAATAAAAGCACATTAGCAACATGAAAAATGCACATGCTAATTCAAATTCCTGGCTATATGTATATAAAAAAATATCTCATTTTTGTTTTGTCTTTTTTATTTTTTCTCCCCCTGTATTGTACACCTAAAAGTTTGTCCACACTTGATGTACAGCCTAAGTATAACTTTTGCTCGTGCAATGAGGAGTATTTTTAATTTCCTGGCTATAACTTGGGCCTTTCTGAGTGGAGTTTGCATGTTCTCCCCGTGTCTGCGTAGGTTTCCTCTGGGTGCTCCGGTTTCCCCTACCACTAAAAACATGCACAATAGGTATGAATTTAAATGAGTGAGTGAATGGATGGTGTTGATTGGGGCTGATGGTCCAGTGTGTTCGGCGACTCGCTTCCATCATCACCGTGTGTGGAATGATTGGAGCAATATCTGAACTCTGAACATTGTAAAGCGCTTTGGGTGACCTTGGTCTGTAAAATGTGCTATATAAATAAACATTACTTACTTACAAAACATATAGACTGGTAATATTAGAATAGCAACCCCAAGTGAGCCAAAATAATAGTTAGTAAAGTTTTTCTCTTTAAATTGTATAACATATAAAATAGTAATAAAACATTAACCAAACAGTAACCATCAGCCATTTTTCTCTTTTAGGGTTTCAAATACTTCCAACCATGGCTCAGAGGCAAAGAGGAACTACTACTGACAGTGGTCAATGAGGATTTGGTTTGTTTTCATCCTTTCTCCTTCCTACATTTTTTCCATTTTGTTATTTTAATTTGACATTTACGCTGACTTTTGTTCAGGCCTGGCACTCCCCTGCCTACGCCGTGTCCCGGGCCTCCTCCTCCAGCAGTGACAGCAGCGACGCCTCCCCCAGCAGCAGCTCCCTCAGCCTGGCCAGCAGTGGGTGCAGCTCCCCCGTCCCTGGAGACCCCCGGCCCCCGCACCCACAGAGCCGCCGGGACGCAGTCAGGTGGGCGGTGACGTCACATCCCAGTGTTTACACTCAACAAGTCTGACTTTTTGAACTGTTCCACCTCAGCCGTGTGTTGTGTGCAAACAGAGACATGACGGAAACTCCACGGTCTCTGGATTCATTGTAGGAGCTAAAATAATCCCTCATTATTGTTTAGTTAAAAGTTTAGTGAAGTTTTGGGCACAAAGACTTTATTTTATTTTAGTATAGAGTTATTATTTATCTATCTTGTGTTGTGTGCTCCTCATTCCTACTTTTCTGCAACACTAAAATTTCCCCACAGAGGGACAAATCAAGGAGCTCTTAACTTTTTCAGTATTATTAATAATGTTTGTGTCAATACAGAAAGAGTCCAAATGTTTTGAACAATGGCTCTATCTATCTCATTCTAAAACATGTTATTTTTTGTAAACTCGTAAGAAAGAGCCCTGTGAGTCACTTTTTGACTCTTTGGGTTGAGTGTGGACCGACGAAGAGAGGGTTGGTTTTCTCTTGTTCTCGATTTTTTAGTTAATCCAAAGAGGCCGAGAAATACATGTATGTGAAAACTGTTATGGGATTGAGGAACTAGTTGTACGGATTTGTCTAGGGATCTTTTTGTGGTTTAAAAGTTACGTACCCCAGCTTTAATAATAATACAATTTTAAAAACACTGTATTGAGGAGGGTAAAAGTCCCAAATGTATTAATAATGTATTGCATGTAATGTATGATTAACATATTCGGACTATTTGTACATATTATGGTTAAATTGCATATATATTTTTAAATGACTATTGAGAGGTGGAAATACTGAAGACTATAGTTTCATTTAAAGATAAATTGTTAAGGACAGATGTAAAAGCGTGGTGATAAATCTAGTGCAGCCATCTTTTGAATCTTTCTGTACATTGTCCATAAAATAGATTTAACTAAAACTGTATCAGCAATACTAGTTTTCACTCTCCACTTTCTCACGGTGCCTTCTCCTCGATGGGCTCATCTCGGTGTTGGCTAAATCAAAGTTGCTCAAACTTCTCTGAAATTATGCAACTGTTTTTCTATTTTAGAGATTTCCACAATGAAGAACACCTCCTCCCTGCCTCGCCCAGCGAAAGAGAGATGGCAATACCAGTAAGTTTATGTGCAATATCAACTCTCCATCGTGGGAAAACTGCGGCCTGCAGCTTCAGCACATTTGGTGGCACAAAGTGATAGACAACTGTAAAGTGGGTGCATTATTTTTCCCAAAAAAAATTTACACAAAACAATTGAAAAGTATTCATACAGAATTAACCTTCAGGCTCTAGCATTTCTTCTCCAGTGTATTGTGAAATAGACAAAAGGTGACACCCTGTATCTTCATAAGAGAGAGTGGATTGATTAATCAATACTGGAAATACGTAGAAGAAAATTATGCAAGAAGAATATAGTGGGACGTTTGTGGGAAGCCAGGTTGCTGTATAGAAAGTGTCCTGAGTTTATGAGCTTGTGTAGCTGATAGTTTTCCGCCTAAAGGGTTAATACGTAGAATCACAGCAGCATCACAGCAACAAGCTTTGCACATCAAGAGACTGAAAGTTTTACAGCTGTTATTATACCGAGAGTAGAAAGGACATTTCAAAGGCAACACAGAAGAAGCATTTTCTTTCTTTCTTTCTCAAGATTAAAATCATGCTTTATTCTTAAAAAACAAAAACCAAGACACTCTCTTATTAGTGAAAATGCATTGGGCGGCACGATGGCTGAGTGGTTAGCAAGAAGGTCGATTCCACCACCAGACGGGGCCTTTCTGAGTGGAGTTTGCATGTTCTCCCCATGTATACATAGGTTTCTTCTACCCCATGTAGAATAGGTCTCTGGGACCAAGACTCCACAGAAAAGAGATTCTGAAATCTCAGTTGAATGAAGGTCAATATTAATTATGGCACATCTCAATGAACCTTACTGTGGACAAATGCATTTCTAGGCCTTCATCAGGGGACAAAATATCGGTATTTTTGTGGCCGTAAACATGAGAGAATGTACAAACGTTTTATTAGAACCTTTGCAAGCCACTGTTAATACACATGCACATACATGCAATCTTATCATTGGCCGATATTAGATGCACATTTGAATGCTATACTGTGAAATATTCCAGGAGGCATGTAACTGTACAAGTGTAAAAAAGTAAATATAATACTGCCCTGACACTCACAAATATTTCCTTTTTTGTTTAGGAAGTCAATTGCACTTTGTTTTTGGTGGCTGGTTATGTGAAATATGGCCGCCCCTACGCCTGGATCCGCTCCAACCATGAACGCCTTGTTAACATTGGGGGCATAGACTCCATGGTCAAAGATACCCCCATGAAGCTCAAGTCCATTACCGACTGGCAAACGCAAGGTAAGGAAACAATGTCAGGAATTCAAACAGGAGAAAGTTATCGTTTGATCGTGCACATTCAATAATTACCCAATTTTCCACAGGCTAAATCACATGCAGATGTTGTCGTCCTTGTCTGGGTGGGCTATGGAAAAAAAGTTTTAGAATTGGACTTTAGACCGCCTCTCGCTCTCACCAGAGATCTAGCGATGATTGTAAGGAGAAATGTTGTTTTGTTTCTAGGAATCCGAGTGTGGGACGTTGTGAGCGAGCTGGTGTCTCTCTGCACTGTCCCGTCTCCGCCTAATCCATTTGCCCTGGACTTGCGTTACGTCCAAAGTCTTCCCCTGACTGACCGTTTTCTTGTGACTGGAGCCCTACTCAACTTTCTGGAGAAGTATATAGTTCATGGGAACCGGGATGAATTGCACTATAATAAAGGTAATACATTTCAGACAATGGGGATTACAGAAATATACTAAATAGTCTTCAATGACGAGTGCAAATTATATATTCAAAATCATACTTGTACACACACACAAACTTTATATTAATATAGCTATACGATCACTATTTATTCAAAGTACAGACTGAAAACTTAAATGTGGAGATAATCAAATGTGTCTGGCTGTGCTTTAAACTATGACACTTTGGAGAGCTCTGACTCCACACCCCGTTTTTGTGCAATCCTGCCTACAGACACACAGACTATTACAATACCCTCTAATAGTGTATCTCTTTGGGTCTGGATCATAGACTGTAAATATTAGTTCTGGCTTGTTCTCATAGGAGCCAGCAGGTGTCACTCTTTAACTAAATAAAGACCATTCCTGTCTCTTGCACATTTCTCCTTCTGTTCAGTGGTGGAGGAGGTGAAGCCTCTAAGGCACCTTCACGTCAGGTCTCTTCTGGAGGTGCAACAGCAGAGAGAAGGCACCAGGCTCAACACCAGTCCCACCACAGGCGGCTCAGACGACCAGGAGCCACCGCTGGGTCACAAGCTTCATCTTCGGTGAAGTACATGCTGCAGCGTGTGGCACAAGTCTGACCGGGATGAGGAAGTTCAGGGTGGTGCCACTTCGGTTCTTACAGTTGGACATTGCACAGTCACATGTGTTTCAAAAGCACTAGATACATGAGAACCAAGTCACAAGACTGAAAATCCCTGGACCTCCTCTGGATTCATGCCCTCCACCTCAAACCACCTCTGCTCTGCCGGCTAAATATACCACAAATTATTATTCTTACGTTTTTAGGCAGCGGGAACCCTGTATATAAAGTACCAGACAACAACAAGAACACGTTGTATAAAAACTTTTAATATTTGATAAAAATCCATATTTAAATATGTACATTATATTAAAAACAGTATATTGATAAAATATCTTTGAGCGGGCACAAAAACACCCTTTACAGAGGCTGTGCCTTTTGTAATGAATTTAAAAACAAAAAGATGAAAAACCGTGTGGCATGAGCACCACAGACACCTCGTCCTAGCTTAGTATGAAATACTGACCGTAGCCTCTGAAGCCACAAACTCACATGTCTGTCAAACATTTGTAAACCTTACACTTTATCACCTTCATGAGAGTGTTATCCAATGCTGCACACATTAGTGCCTATGACGGCGTTTGAACTGGACTAGGACACCTTTAAGGCTTGCTAATGTAACAAAAGCACACTGTAGCAAAGTCATGGTTGGATGACAGAAGAATCCAGAGCTTTAAGCATAAGATCTCCACGTCCCAGAGGAATGCAGGTGCATGGCTGCACATTCCTCACCGGGGCTCGACAGACCAGGAACACTGTTCCCAGTGTCAGGGCTCCCTCACAGCTGACCGCCTTTCCACATAAATGACGATTTAGTGGACCAATAAAACTTAGTCAAAATGGCACCCTTTCCTTTAAAATTTGGCATTTATTTTAAAATATTAAAAACTAAATTCAGAAAGAATTTTTTTTTTTTTTTTTTTAATCTTGACATAATTCATTGTGACATAATTTAATTAAGTTATGAAGAGCCTTGTTGCCAGGATGCTTCTGTCAACATTGTCAGCCAATTAAAAATATTCATTAAAAAAGTGATCATTTTGTGTCGACTTCAACAGTTTGTGCTTCTTTCAGACACCAGCTCAGGTAACCACCTGTTAACGTAATACTTAAGAGTCCTCTTGTGGCTGTGGTGACTGTCTGTGAAACATGACATCATGCAATTCAGCAGACGCTGCGACTGTAGGAGTTAACAAAGTCCTCCAAACTCATGACCACACTTGTCCCGTCTAGTCTCTCTGCTGCAGTGAAAGAGGACGTAGTCTTGGTAAAGTCTCCTGCAGCAGTCACTGAGGACGTAATCTCTGTATAGCCTCCTCCAGCAGTCACTGAGGACGTAATCTCTGTATAGCCTCCTCCAGCAGTCACTGAGGACGTAATCTCTGTATAGCCTCCTCCAGCAGTCACTGAGGACGTATCTTGGTAAAGTCTCTCTGAGGATGTAGTCTCTGTATAGTGTCGTTTCCCTGCAGCTGCACAGTTCTAGCTGTCTGATGCGGAGCCCCTTCTGGTGATGGCTCGGTGAGGGCTGCGAGACACAGAGCCTCTCTTCTTCCAGCGAACTGAAACAAAAGGAGAAAGATGTCAGTGATGCCAGCAGCTGCAGAGTTCACCGTTAAAATGTTAATGAACTGTGAGCAGTGAAAGTCGTGCGTCAGTCAGTGTAAGAGAGCTACTCATTTACACTTATCCACTTGTCTTCTAGGTTTCAACATTTACCTCAAAAGTGTCAGAGGTCAGAAACTTTAGCTGTTAGAGCGGGGAAAGTACAGGCTGTAACGTACCTTTGCCGATACTGGCCGGGAGCGTGTGGCTCTTTGTGATGGACTTCGTAGTTTCCTCCATGCCCTTGGTCTTTGCTGCCAGTGTGTTGGACCCGTCCTGCCAGTCGCTGAGGGCCCTCTGGAAGGAGTGTGCCAGACATGTGGTCATGTCCTTGGCCCGCTCGGCCCGGCTGCACCAGAAGACTCGACACTGCAGCTGCTGCCCGTGGTGCTTACAGATGTACAGGAACACATTGGGCCTGGTGGCATCTGCAGCACAGTACGCTATGTCCTGGAGGTAAGTCTTTGTGAGCTGCCGCCCTGTGCTCAGCTCTTTGACCTCCACGTAACGCGGCCGTACCACCAGAGCGTGGTCCTTTCCCAGTTTCTTCCCGTTTGAGATGCCATCCAGCAGGTGCTGGATGGCGTGCTGAGCCTGCTCCCGGTCCAGGGAGAAGATCTTCTCTGTGCCCAGGTAGTGCACCTTGAAGAGCGGGTCACCGTGGGACAGGCTCTCCAGGCGGTCTCTCTTGAAGCGGCGGCGGAGCGCTGCTGGAGAGTTCTTCAGGGTCTGCATGAGGTGAAATGTGCCCAGAGACATTGTTTCTTTTAAGGTGGAAGGAAGCAGAGTTTCAGTTCTCCCACAATGCCACCTCAGCAGTCAGTGGAGCCACATCCAATGGAATCTGCAATGAATCAAAGGAGGAGGTTAGAAAGGCAGAAGTACAGAACATCCTGGCATAGACACAAAACACACTGGCATTCAACTCCCACACACTTCATTGATGCTGGAAATCTAGGTTGAGGTTGATATCCTGACCAGCATGAGCTTGTGCTGCTCTAGAACCAGAGCAAATGTCACCATCGAGATCAGTTACAAAAGTGACGCAGTCCCTGACCAATATTCATCCACCACAAACACAGCTATTAAATATTTACAGCCTCCACAGTGTTGACCTGTCTGAGGCTGAGCTGGCTCCTCTCACATAGGTTCAAAGTGTTCTCTCACCTCACATCAATGGCATATTTTTGCATTGAACTATTAAGGTCTATCAGGATTGGCTGACCCTGTAAACTTGTATTCTTATGCAATGAGTACATCTGGCCTCCCATTGTGCTTCATCCTCTAAATCCACAGAAACGCCTCTTTGCCATTGTGTCTACACTGTATTTTTTCCCCCTTTCGCTTTTCTTGGCCATTCTTTCAACATCCTCCATCCCTCGTCAGAAGTCAGTCGAGATGGCCATTGTGAGCGCGCAGGAAGCAGCTTTGCATTCCCACCAAACTGTTTTTTTCTACTAACAATGGCATGCTTTAGAGAGTGTGTCACTTCATGTTTTTAGCAGGAGAAGGGCTGCAATGTAAAGCCCGAGATACAGACAGATTTAATACTGGGCAATATTACAAACAAAAACATTCAACATGAAGTGAAATATACTGATACTAACCCGACCTTGTACCAATCAACATTTACAAATTATGAATTTGAATGTGGCATTATTGCACAAAAAAATAAATAATTAAAAATTTAAATAAACACTAAAAAGTTCAGAACAATTAGGCCAATGAGCAGGAATCAGTCAAACTAATTGGGCAAAAGGTTCAACCAACAGCCCACATCATTATATTTACCCACGAAAATGAGAAGTTTTAGAAAATAAACGCACAAATTCTATATAGTATACACACAGTCTGATTGTAGATATCCAGCCTGTGTATCTATCATCAGTTTATGGTAGAATCACACACACAGTCTATGGTAGAATCACACACACACACACACAGTCTATGGTAGAATCACACACACACACACACAGTCTATGGTAGAATCACACACACACACACAGTCTATGGTAGAATCACACACACACACACAGTCTATGGTAGAATCACACACACACACAGTCTATGGTAGAATCACACACACACACAGTCTATGGTAGAATCACACACACACACACACAGTCTATGGTAGAATCACACACACAGTCTATGGTAGAATCACACACACAGTCTATGGTAGAATCACACACACACACACACAGTCTATGGTAGAATCACACACACACACACACAGTCTATGGTAGAATCACACACACACAGTCTATGGTAGAATCACACACACACACACAGTCTATGGTAGAATCACACACACACACAGTCTATGGTAGAATCACACACACACACACAGTCTATGGTAGAATCACACACACACACACAGTCTATGGTAGAATCACACACACACACACACAGTCTATGGTAGAATCACACACACAGTCTATGGTAGAATCACACACACAGTCTATGGTAGAATCACACACACACACAGTCTATGGTAGAATCACACACACACACACAGTCTATGGTAGAATCACACACACACACACACACACACACACACACACACACACACACAGTCTATGGTAGAATCACACACACACAGTCTATGGTAGAATCACACACACACACAGTCTATGGTAGAATCACACACACACACACACACAGTCTATGGTAGAATCACACACACACACAGTCTATGGTAGAATCACACACACACACACACACACAGTCTATGGTAGAATCACACACACACACACACACACAGTCTATGGTAGAATCACACACACACACAGTCTATGGTAGAATCACACACACACACACACAGTCTATGGTAGAATCACACACACACAGTCTATGGTAGAATCACACACACACACAGTCTATGGTAGAATCACACACACACACACACACAGTCTATGGTAGAATCACACACACACACAGTCTATGGTAGAATCACACACACACACACACACACAGTCTATGGTAGAATCACACACACACACACACACACACAGTCTATGGTAGAATCTCACACACACACACACACAGTCTATGGTAGAATCACACACACACACAGTCTATGGTAGAATCACACACACACAGTCTATGGTAGAATCACACACACACACAGTCTATGGTAGAATCACACACACACACAGTCTATGGTAGAATCACACACACACACACACAGTCTATGGTAGAATCACACACACACACACACCAGTCTATGGTAGAATCACACACACACACAGTCTATGGTAGAATCACACACACACACAGTCTATGGTAGAATCACACACACACCAGTCTATGGTAGAATCACACACACAACACAGTCTATGGTAGAATCACACACACACACCACACACTATGGTAGAATCACACACACACCAGTCTATGGTAGAATCACACACACACACTATGGTAGAATCACACACACACAAGTCTCTATGGTAGAATCACACACACACACACACACTATGGTAGAATCACACACACACACACACAATCTATGGTAGAATCACACACAATCTATGGTAGAATCACAGTCTTCTATGGTGACAGCACTGACCTCCACAGGTGCGCACACGTACACGCCGCAGTCCTCGTGGTGTGTCCGGGCCGTTGACGTACAGCTCTCCTCTGGTCTCTTCTGGTCTCCTCTGGTCTCCTCAGTACGTGTGTCTCATTCTGGTCCGTGGCTCCAGTGTCGTACCGTTCCGCTCTGAGTCCTGCACTCCTGTATCTCTCTCGTATCTCTGCGTGGGTCCGTGTAGAGTCCGTGTACGTCTGTATTTCACGTGTGGCTCTGAGTGAAGCCGAGCGGCGCGCTGCCCTTTTTAAAAGAGCTGGGGCGCGCGCACCTCACCCACGTGCACGCGCGCCACTTGCGTTGGAGCTGAAAGGAGCGCGCTGATTGGACGAGAGCGCGTCACGGGAAGAGGCTGCGGAGAAACCGGTAAATATATCCAGGATCGAAAAGAAAGTGCTCAGAGCCGAGGCTTCCGTGGAACGTCACTCAGACTGATTGTTACTGAGGTCTCCCATCGCTATTGTTAAGATCTAATCTGTGGTGTGTTTATGGTTAGGTTTTGTTTCTGCTGCTAAAGAGTGGCAGAATTATTAGGAATCATATCAGCTGTTGAGGTCAACTCTACGAATGACCTTACTCAACTGCTGTTCCATCACACCCTCAACAAGTGACCTCTCAAGGACCTAATTCATTTGTTCTTAGTACTTCAAAACATTATTTGAAATCATTAAACGAGCATATCTATAAATACAACAATCAATCACAGATGTGTCATCTCCATAGCCTTTTATAAACTGTTATAGAACCTTGTTTGAGGAGAGTTTGGTAAGTCATAATTTACAGGCCGGTGTTTGTGTACCATTCACACACACTCAATGAAACTGTCAAAAGACAGAATGAAAGCAATATATGGACCAGGCCGCAGTTATGTGACCAACAATACTGGGCCATAGGTTGGTGTAAATAGACTTCATCTTATACATGGTTCCTTTCTCTTGAAAGTCCACTTTGCCTTTATGGCTGTCTTCAAACTGCAGAGGTAACTTCCCAAATGTACACAAACAGCAAACCTATTTTCAGTTTTGACATATAGGGGCTAAGGTAAACATGGGTGTTTTTGAGGGTCTGTGTGAGCGCTGCAGAAAGCCTCTACCTGTCTTTAGATTGCGTCACTGGCCCTTGTTAATGGGACCACTGGTCTGACTGGCGCAGTTCTGCCTCTCATGTTTGTGCTGGAGGGGTTTTGAACAGTGGCAGAGGAAAACCTTAAACGGTGCCATGTGTGCGTACATCTTGGGGAACAGAAGGCCCCTGTTTCGTCTGGGACCGGCCCAACAACAGTTAAAGTGTGGACGTCACAGCCGCCGCTGCACAGTGGAACTATTCTAGGGCAGCAGTGACATAATGGGCCTTCAGACCCACCGCCTCCTTACACACCTCACAGTCTCTGCAGGACGAGGTGAGCTTGTAGCAAACTGCAGATTCCTGCAAAGTCTGTGAAACACATTTATCACGCTGCATCTGACGCACGTACTGTGCATATAACACGCTTTAAAACAGCATTTAATCAGCATTTCATGACTCTGAACAGCTCCAGGAACAGAAGTGACCTGAGCTCAGCTGTCCTCAGCTCAACTGAACCAGTTTGGTCCAGGTTTGGCAGAAGCAGCCTCACACTTTAGAAGATAATATTCATTAACACAACTGGAACTGGATTTAACAATGCTATTGTTGTTTTTTCTGGTTAAATTATTTTGCCCCTGATGTTTTCCTTTTTCTATAGTATATAAATCATTGTATCAAAATGTATTATTAAATATAACTCCCTTACATTCCTTTTCTATTTTCTCTACAAAGTAAAACTGGTCCTGATTCCCTCCAGGACTCCCCTGACTCTGACCTGGTTACACACACGGGATGTTCATAATTCACATTTCCAGGAGTTTGATGGTTATATTTTGTGACTGTTGAATGAGGACTACACGGAATAGAATGAATCTTATCTGTCGACTGACACAACAGGATATATGGGCCTTTTGGAGTTCACCTGCTTTTAAATGTTATTGAAACGTGTTTGACACATTTCCAGAAAGATGATGTTGTTGTATTTCTCATGAATAAAGAGTTCGTCTGCTGTGATTGGATTGAGTGACAAAAATCATACCTGATGTTGAGCTCTCTAAATATAAAACAGACAGAGACCTGTCGTATGCAGGAAATGGAAGTA